TGTCTTATTTTCCAACTGTTTGTATTCAGAGTATTGATAGTGTTATATATGTTTTTCGTGGATTTCGTATGGATAATTTAAAGTCAGATTAAATTAGTGAAATTTATTTGCAAGAAATAATACTTAAAGAACTAAAACTAATACCGTATGATCAAATAAAAACGGCGTCGGCGATGGCTATGAAATGACAATTTCCCATATAATTTTACATATAAAATGACAGCGATCTTCATTTCATAGCCATCGCTGACGCCGTTTTTATTCGATCATACGGTATTTATCTGTACAATTACTTTTTTACACAGGTTGTCGTATTTTTCTATTGAGAGAAGGTGCTCGTACGTTCGAGATTTCTCCATGTTTCACTGATGGTTCACCATAATATCTTTCTATAATATACATATACTTTTTCAGGATTTTCTCATCTGCATTGAGATGTGTTTGGCCGCTATAGCACATCATTACAGTTTTTCATTCCAACCATACATAAGGCCAGGCACTAGACAACAATCATGTTGCAGTGCGTTTTTGGCAATGTGGGATATATCAGACGTGCACAGAGACATTCAGGAACATATTGGTATAGTTCGTAAGTACTTTTTTTCTCAAGGTTATACCGGGTGCGTATCAAAAGTGGCTCACACCCTATAACTTTTTTATTTTTTCAGATAAAAAAACGAATTTTGGTATGTTAGTATATGACATAAATTAGGATTGATTGACGTATTTAATTGTTTTTGGTCACTTCCTGTTTCACCGGAAATGAGTACAACTTTTGATTTTTAAATGGCACCCTTAGTATATTTCTACTTTATTCAATAGAAAATGACACTCTGAATAGAATGACATATCATATGTCAACTTTTGACATTTCCGTATATGGTTTATTTGAAATTGTAACATGCGGTTTATAACGACAATTTGACTCGAAATACCAATACCAAGTACCAAATTATTTGTAAAAAATGCTTTTTACAAATATGCTAATGAGCCATACTTGTTTCATTTGAAATAATTGAGATATGATTAAAAATACGATTTGAACATCTTTTAACCAGCCAGGACAAGACACGAAAAATATTAGACTATCAAAACTATTTTTCCAATGCTCCTTGAATAAAAATTAGTGTTTTTAACACAGCCACGGCACTGTAGATTGTAATTTAAAATACGATTTTTTAAGCGAAAGTGTCAAAATAAAGTAGAGATATACCGATGCGACGGTGCCATTTAAAAATCAAAAGTTGTAGTCATTTCCGGTGAAACAGGAAGTGACCAAAAACAATGGAATACGTCAATCAATACTAATTTATGTCATATACTAGCATACTAAATCTCATTTTTTTTATCTGAAAAAATAAAGTCATAGGGGTGAGCCACTTTTGAGACGCACCCGGTATTGTGGTCAAATTTTATAGGGATGATAGGGATTCTCTAGTATACAGATTGAATTTATTTCAGCATATAAAGACGTGTTCTCACCTATTATTCTCACTCAGCACTAGCGCAGTCTGACTTCAGTTCAAATAATGAACGCATGAACACACATTTCATACATGATTAGTATATTCATACTTTCAGTGAAAGTGAAAGCTAGTTCTACTTTTGTCCACTGGTTATAATTTTGCACATATTTTTTGTTTACGAGATCAACAAAAGATGTCTAAACCAACCATTAATATAAATATCATGAATAAAATATAAAATCGTATGTAGGTAATGCCTCGCATAAGATTTTATATTTTATTGATGAGCGCTAACTCAATTTTTATATTCCAACATACTTATCATTAATTATGCCTACCCCGTGTATTGACCCATAATTAATAAGAATCCTGATGATTTCGTCCATTTAGAGGCATCGGTTTGAAACGTCGAGGGCGTCAGTCTGTAGCCCGTCACCAATTATGCCGAAATCGACCCACACTTTTCTTCAATATCAAATCCTTAGTCCCACCCTGTGGAGATGTAAACGAAACGTCGTATCCAACGTTGTAGGGTGGGACCGTGTGCACCGTCGCTCACATAGTCTACCCATCAAATTTGGTCGCGATCGGACGACATCAACTTTTGACGTTTCTTACATCAAAACTAACTGTCACAGTGACACGTATTGTACACGGTCAAGTTCGCCTTGGACCTATCTATCGACATATTAAATTTTATTTAAATCGGATGATTTTTTTGACATTGACGATGGGGTTTCATAGTGCACGATTTCAGGTTTCATAGTTCTTCGAGCCCCATCTACATTCTGAGTTTCAGCCCCTTAGCTCACATAGGACCCGAGTTACGACGCTCCAAAGACCCACATTAAATTGTACGATTTTTTCGTCATTGATGATGGGGTTTCATAGTGCACGAAACGTCTTCAAAACATCATGAATCGATGGAGCTTTTTGAGTCCCATCTACATTCAGAGTTCCAGCCCCCAGGTAACAGAGGGTCCGAGTTACGACGCTCCAAGATCGTTACCACTTTTCCTCTCGCGTCTCGTGTCTCATGGCCGTGTCACGACCTTCAATTTTTACTCCCAGCGCGCGTAAAGAAGTTTCATTTAAAAAATGTATATAGGTAACGTTCTCGTTTGTTCTTATACATACCTGTTTGTGTTCAATATTCCCTTGTCATTAATGGAAATGTTCTCTCTTTTAGTACACTATTTATAAAGTCTGAGCTTTACTTTATCCGAGCGTTGTAATGCAACGTGTTACAAAACAAAACGAGCTAAAGAGCCGGGAAACAATCGCCTAACCGAGCGGTTCGCAAACAACAACGGTGCTCCACTCGACTGTCGGTCTTTTAGCGAATCTCTTTGATTGTTATATTACAAGTCAATACAAGTTCGGCGAACATCCGTTTTTCAATCATGTTTCTAGTAGATATCGTGGCTTTGACTGTGATTAAAGGTGCTTGTGTTAATTGGCGGTATAAGCAACATAATAAATAGCTAAAAAGTTTGAATAAACGAACCATTCCCAATTTTTATACAGGTTGTTTCGAAAAACATGTATTATCTCTCGTGGGTAGGTTCCTTATGTAAAAATAATATTTATTTTTCATAACATAGACCAGATTCTCCTTCGTTTCGTAGCTACAAGTGCTTAAAGTTTTAATTTTTTTTATTTATTATAATTTTCCTCCAAAGACTTTTAGCGATTCGAATTAAATTTTGAGGATAAAAGTTACTATGTTACTTAGCGGAACATATTTTAATGCTAAATAAGTGAAATATATTCACCAGGGATGTCCGTATGTGTTGTCAGTGGAATATTTTTCTAAAAAAAAAACATGTGCACCACTGACTTTCACACACACGTTGCACTTTTACTCGCAAAATTTCGTTTGAATGGCCAAAAACATTTGGAAAGAATTTATAATAACTTGTCAAAAAATTGAGACTTTAACCCCCTGTAGCTACCAAACGAGGCAGAATTGGACCTCTACTATGACCTATGTTGATATGAAAAATAAATCTTATTTTTACATGAGGAATTGACGAGAGATGGCACATATTTTTTGAAGCACCCTGTATAGCTGACATATTTGAAGGGCTGAAAAAAATACTGGAACATAACGAGCTGAGAATTCGAAACGAGATTTTCGTATTTCGGCGCGAGCAGCGAACAAGCGTTACATTACGGCACTCGGCTCGAGACAATGTCCGCCACGTAAATTAGGTATTTTTATCTTTGTTTTACTCATTAAAATACAGACCATGGATTGAGATTGACCAAGCCAGTATATATAGTTTGATTTCAAACCCAGTCACCTCTTAATAACTATGAACTATTTATAGGTTCCTCGATCAGTCGCCGAATTAGGGGAAGGAGTATGTACAGCATACCTAGAGGAACCGACGAATTTTCCAACTTGGTATCGCCCAGAGGAGGACAGAGTGTTCCGGCAAGTTTTTATCAAAGCGAATACGATGACTTTGTAGTGAACTATGGTACCGTCACTTCTAGTCAGCCTGTTCAGATTCATAACACGGACCCAGGTCCGAAACCGATTTGAGACTATATCACGTAATTTTTTACATTTATGTTTATATATTATACCATTTATTAAGTTAAATATTAATTATTAGAACAATCCAAATATAGACTGGTCGTTATTTCAAATACGTAATTAGAGAATTATACATATGTTTATATACAGGGTTTCTACGATGTTCTCTATGGGTATCTCGGAATCTACTGGAGATAGTGAGTTGGTTAAATGGGGAAAGAAATGCAGTTTTGTGGGGTCATAAATATGCGCCTTTTTCAGATTTTTGAAAATTTTCATGGCTTACTAGATATTTCGAAAAAAAATAACAAATTTCGGCTATTTTAAAAATTGTCCCTAATTCCATTATAATCTATTTTAGACAAAAAGTTTTCATATAAAAGTTGTAGATAATCACATCCTTAATAAGATTGTGTCCTCCGTTTTTTTTTTCTAAAGTCTGTCATTTTTGACATATGAGACAAACATGTTTTTTTAAATGGAAACCATAGCTATAGATATAAGCTATAATATGTTTTTTTTTGAAAAATTACCGAGTTATAGCCAATTCTTATCATTTTTAAACAATTTCACTTATTTAGCTATGGAAACAAGTTCAATCGTCGTCGCTCTCAGAAATGTGAAACTGTCATATTCAAACTTTCTAAATTAAAATAAATAAAAATTGTAAATATGAATTTTGCAAATGAAGAAAAGCGTGTAGGATTATTGGTTCAACTTTTCTTGGCCATACATTTTCGAGGATACGTTGACCGGTGAACGTTACGTTTTTTAGGGAATGGTTTTCAAAGACATGTTAAATTTAGATACTCGCGCATCCATAGAGTGGTTCCAACATGACTTTCATTATGATACCCGATACCCCCCCCACAATGAAAGAAATGTTAAAAATTATTTATATCATAATTATAAAAACTCAGGGATAGGAAGAGGTTGACTAATTGCATGGGTTTTCTCGATCACCTGACCTATCCGTTTTAGACTTTTTTTATGCGGTATGGTTAACAAGATTTACAAAAGAACTTATGAATTAAGAGAGACACTCGAAGAGGCGGTACGGGAGAAGTTAATTTAAGTCGACCGGTCGTTCTCTGAGAATAGGTAGTAATTCAGTTGTACAAAGATGTATTTATGTACTCAAAACAATGGCGGATTTTTTGAACATTTTCTAAAATAACTTAAAGTGTATGCAGTGATATTATTTTTTTAAGTTTTAGTTTGTGTAATGTAAATTGAAAAGAACTGTTTAATAATATATTTTGTATTTTTATAAGTTATAAATAACAGAATAAGAATACCATATCAACTAAGTGAAATTAGTCAAGAATAATAAGAATTGGCTGTTACTCAATAATTTTTCAAAAAAAACCTATAGCTTATATCGCTGAAAAGCTTAAAAATGGCGCTTTTTATGAAGTCATGGCCAACTATGGTTTCCACTTAAAAAAACATATATATGTTTGTGTCATATATGTCAGGTCAGAAATGACAGGCTTTAGAAACACAATCGGAGAACACAAACTCATTCGGGATGTGATTATCTACAACTTTTATCTGAAAACTTTTTGTCTAAAATAGATTATAATGGAATTAGGGACAATTTTTAATATAGCCAAAATTTCCACCCTTTCCCCCAAAACCACACCAAAAGACCCCACAAAGCTGCAATTCTTTCCCCATTTAACCGACCCTCTATCTCCAGCAGTTTCCGAGATACCCATAGAGAACATCGCAGGAAACTGACCCTGTATACGTTTATATTTATGATTTATAAATGTCTTATATTTTTTTATTAGCATCATTAACACTCACGGTTATACAGAGTATGTCAAAAAGTTCGCAAAAATACAAGGTGTCCCAATATACAGGGTGTCCTATTATTCTCTGGACATAAAGCTACTACGTATTTTTCAGATCAAAATAAGTTCATTGGACACAATTTATTTCTATACAAAAGTGCTTCGTTTGTCCGTTAGAGGGCAGCAAACTTCAAAAAAATAAAAACATTTTTTAAGATATTTTAAGAACTGTTATTCCGATTTGAATGAGATTTGGGGTGCCTATATTTTGCTAAGCGTTTTAACGTTTGATTTTCACAAAAAATCAAGAAAAAGTATGGGTAGGGTAAAAACTACCACCGCCCCTACATAAATTTTAGTAGAAATTCCACCGACGACTGATTTTTCATTAAAATGGTCCTGCTAGTATTTACTACATTTTTTTTTGTCTCTTGTAAAAAAATCGCCATCGCGCGTACTTTTTGAGAAAAATGTTTTTCCGAAGCTGACTTATAAAAAATACTTTTGGCACACAAGCTATAGTTGGCTATTTAGGGTATTTGCTATATAGGGGTGGGGATATAATTTTCATCCTGGCCGTATTTTTGTGTTTTTGTTAAAGTCAAATTTTAAAGCGCTAGCAAAACATAGGCACTCCACATGTCATTCAAATCGGAATAACGGTTCTTAAAATATCTTAAAAAAATGTATTTATATTTTTTAAGGTTTGATGCCCTCTAGCGGAAAACAAAGCACTTTTGTGTAGAGGTAAATTGTGTCGAATGTAGTGATGGGAATCTACCGGTTCCACATGAGGCGCGTTACAATAGCGACCCGTTCCAGAAATATACCGCGACAAAATATCAGCATTTTGTAATCGAGGTTCCAACTTCCTAAGTGTCGCGTCCTCGCTTATGTAGTATTTCTGGCATTGGTACCAACTTTTATTTTATACTACCTACCTACTCCCACAAACCACTGTCAAAAAAATTCTTTATTGGTGATCGGTTTCGGCAATTTCAGCCATCATCAGACCTTAAAAATAGATATAAACAATAAAACTTATATAAATGTATAAAAGCAAATAAAATTTTCATTTTATTTTATTTGCTTTTACGTTTCATCTTTCAAACAACGTTATTTTATACCATGCTTAGTACATACCAAAAATCGCTATTTCAAAAGTAACGTAGCGACGGCAACGGGAGCACCAACGCCAATAGTAACCGACCCAATCGCTACAGGCGAAAACGAAACCCTATAAGCGCTCCAGCGACTGCAGGAACGAAGTAAGCCGCCTCCGAGGTCGAGCGTCGATAGCCAGTTACAGCAGTTACAGCAGTTACTTCTGTTCGCGACAGGGAACTGAAACTCTAGGAGCGCGACGGCTGGCTGGAGCGAAGTAGGCCGCCGCGCCGCCGAAGTCGAACGTCGATGCCCAGTTACAGCAGTTACGCGTCAGGGAACTACAACTCTAGGAGCGCGACGGCTGAAGCGAACACGTCGCCATCGAGATCGCTCGACGCTACGTACAGTTCCAGTAACTATTGTAGGCGACCGACAAAATCGCGACGGCTGGAGCTAAACACGTCGCTATGCGGTTACTACACTTCAAGCTAACTTCAAGACCGATTATAAATAATTTATTTGCAAATTATAAATAATTTATAATTTTGTCGTCATTATGATTGTCGTTCTTCAGTAACAGGTTCCTCATTCGTTGTGGAGCGCGACACGGCGTTACAAAAAAATACCGCTCCAAAATCGCGTTACTCAAATACCGACACATCACTAGTCGAATGTACTTTATTTTGATTCCAAATATTATGTAGTTCTGTTTCCACGAATATTGAGCAACCCTGTATATAAAAAATTTAAAGAGATTTTTTTCGAATTTGCTTTTACGTCTATGTACCAAAATTCATGAATACACATGAACTACACCAAGAACAAAAAATTAATTTGTACACCATTTTTGTGTGGAAAACCTAAAAAATATTTTTTTTTTCGTAACAATAACATGGCAAGGGAAATCTAATGTTTTTCCTTTATAAATTTATACAGAACAAACTATTCTAGATGAAAAAATAATTTATGGTAGGATTTTCTTTACTATAGTTTATTTAATACGATTATTTTTGAGATGGTACAATTTTCTGAATAAACTTCTAAAATATTCAACAATTTCTGAATAATCTTCTGAAGAATATCAAAAAGCATATTTTTTTAGTACTTGTATATTTATGAAACTTCTAAAAGATAATCCTTTTCTTATCATGGCTGGCTAATTTTAAAATTTTACCCTTTAAATATAAAACTAGGTTGATTACCAAAAGGAGGTAAGGTATCAAAAAGTAATCACAATTCAAAAATATACAGAGATTTTCGAAATTTATTTTTAAAAATTTATTAATGATTAATTTTTTTAAGATCAATGAATAAATATGTTTTCCCCATTTATTTGGCACCCTTTTGGCAAACACTGTATACAAATACTCATTATTATCACTGATTATAGACAATTATGTATATTTTTAAAACATTTTTGGATCGAAAAAGAAACTTATTTTTATGGACACTGTTCAGAAAATTCCCTTGCTTTAATCAATGTATTAAGATACATAATAATATCATCATTAGACCAACGCAAGGTATTATAATTCCTTTATAAATTTATTTTCACTATATGTATATTTATTTTTTATGTTTTATAGAGATTTTTTATATTTTTAATAAATTACACATTAGGTTATTTAAGAATGACTCTGTTATTAAAAAGTTTCTTCAAAATTAACATGCCTATCTTTAGTGATCATTTCTAGTCAACCTGTTCAATTACATACGATTATGGACACAGGTCTAACACTAAAAATTGAGACTTAGATATTCATTTAATGTTTATATAGGTTATAAATTAGGATTTTTTATTATCAGATTATACTGTATGATCGAAAAAAAAACGGCCTCAAAAAAAGTTGGTTTCAAAATGATATAATAGATGACATTCCTCGTATAATTTTACATATAAAAGAGTGACAGTGATCTTCATTTTCGAATTTTTTTTTTCTTTATTTTTTTATATCTGACGCCGTTTTTTTTTCAACCATATTGTATTATTAATATATTCAATATCAATACAGATATAAAGACAAACTGCGTTTTAATGCTATTTAAAATGCATATGTTTATAGATTTGCTTTGATTATATTTTTATGTATATGATTATAAAGAAAAATAAAATTATTCAGTAATATTTGAATTGGATTTTTTCCTAAATTTAAAATATAATTATTTTTCTAAAAAAATCGGCTGGGTGTGCGCGAGGGTGTGCGCAACTGAAACAAAAATCAAAAAAATTGTGTGTGCACTATGTGTGCATATTTGAAGTAAAACTTCTTTTTTCCGTCTGTCCGTCTGAGGATTCCATGTGGGTACCTCTATCCACGTGCCG